AGGGTGTGATGTTTTCCTTCCTGAATGTTACGACGACGGAGCCCAACGAAACCCAGGCAAGTTTGTGGCCGATGTTCATGTGAAAGCCTCGGTAAACTTAGTTCGTAGCTGACCAGGTTACGTCATCTCCGAATTTTGATTTTATCCTGGCATATGTCACGACGTTCCCCACCGTCGGTCCCAGCAAGAAGGAGGTGAAGGCAGTGTGTTCGAGGGTCCACTCAACGCTTGGTGAAACATGAGATCGCAGGCCGCACTCGATTGGGCGAATACTGAATTTCGTCTACATGCTGGTGTGGAGCAAGTGAACCTTGAAGCACCCCAGTTGCATTGCCTTTGGGTAGATGTGTTCCAAATTTCGTGATCAAAGTTTCGAACTCGCTTCAGGCATGGCTCGAGAATGAAGCAGAGCTGCAAAGATCGTTTGCATCATGGACAAAGGAGAGAACCACTCGAAATAAAGGGGTCAGGCTGGATCTCGGGGTGTTTGCATTGGGAATGGGTTTTCGGTCTCAACTGGCAGGGGCGGCAAGTCCGAAAAACGAAAGCGAATGCTGATCATGAAGGAGGCCATCCGACAAGCTAAGAAGGCCTGGGGACGGCACCATTAAGTATCTTTGTATGCTTTTAGTTTTAGGCTTTGCTACTGCCCCACTCCAGGATCTTTTGGAAGAGGCAAAATGGCCGAGCGAAGCAAAGGAACCTTGGACTGGTTTACTTGGTCGTTCAGATTCATGTGTCTAGACGATATGGCAGGGGGAGGCGTCGAAAGCGCACACCGAAGAGGGCGAGCCTGATGAAATGCAGGAGGTGGGGAGTTCAGTAGCTGCTTGATTTAAGATCAAACCTGGATAATTTCTTAATACAATCGATCATTGTGTGAGGCTGAAGATGAAGCCATGGAGCAGAATGAAGAAGAAGCACTAGAGGAGGACCCGACCTTGGAAGACGAAGGCCTGAAAAGTGATGAAGATGCCGCGAAAGGTACTTTCAAGGACAGATTCTGATGGCACGACGAACATACATCGCCAACCATGGGTTGTGCTAAACCACTTAGATGAACCCACCGGCAGGACGAGAAAGCAATCAAGGCGAAGGCGCCAAAGCTCCCAAAAGCGGTGCAGGAGACAGCGGACAAGCTGCTGAAGGGGAGTGAGATGGAGGATCCTGGAATTGCGATCGAGGTTTCGTATGCATGCATTCCTACACGGATTCACGGATGTTCTTGTCAGCAGCTCTGGGACAAAGAGAACAAGAGAGGGAGGGAGAGAAGCTAACAAAACACACACACACACACACACACATGCACACTCACACAACCAGACGAGAGAGAGCGAGAGAGAGACACATAATAGATATAAAATTAAAAGAGACCGGGAGAGCGAGACTGCCAAACAAAGAGGTAGAGAGAGAGAGAGAGACCGGGAGAGCGAGACTGCCAAACAAAGAGGGAGAGAGAGAGAGAGAGAGAGAGAGAGAGAGAGAGAGCTATCGAGCGAGTGTCAGTATGACAGAGGGATATATAACATGTATGTGTGTGCCAGGGGAAGCACTGTTTTTGCGATGGTGTTTGGGGTGCCCATGCTGTGTGTCATGCATTCAGGTTCAAAAGAAAACAAGAGATGCAATGCGAGCAGAGCCAGAAGTGACGGAGGATGCGGAAAAAGAAAAGCGAGGCCGAGGAAGGGGAGGAAAGGGAGGAAAGGGAAGAGGAAGGGGAAGAGGAAGGGTTCTAAAAAGGCCGGCTGCCATCGACCCCATGAGGGTCAGAAGCCAAAGAAACCCAAAGCAAGCATGGATGCACCAAAGGCAGGCACAGAGCAGGAAGCGGAGAAGGATGCTGATGATGAGGAAGGCGAAGAAACAAAGGAAGAACAGCCAGGAAAGGATGCAAACTTCAAGGCCGATGTGTTGCATTGCCAAAAGTCTAGATCTAGAGCTCCTTCTTGTTGAGAATGTTATAGGGGGATCCCGGGTACTCTTGGTGGTTTGCATACTGGGTTCAGGCAGCAAGGCTTGCCACGATTGCGAAGCTTGAAGAAATTGCGAAGTCCGATGACCGGATGCAGATCGATTCAGACTTCAAGGAAAGCACGAAAAGGAGCGACTCATCCATGGTTCAATTACAATTTCCATTCCTTGTTCGTTTGGTCTTGTCTTTCCCAGAAAAGGAGCTTCACGCTACGTCAAGAAGACCTGAACCATCGCAGCATCGGTGTGCTGTTCCGAACTGAGGTTGTCCATGCAAATTTGGTGGTATCGAACCCAGTGTATTGTGTGTATGTGAGTCTGACCCGACTAAGGATATCAGTGACTGGAAAGAGTGGATGCTTCTATATCGCCCCGGTCTGCAAGAAGAACATTGAGAGTTTGAACAAGACGGTGAATGCAAATTTCAGGCGCTTGGTGCCTACATGAATCATCTGATGTACTTTTGTCATGGAAACACAGTCGATCTATCTCAGTCTGTCTCAGGTGGATAAGAAGGTGGACAAGAATGGCGAGGGCGGCTTAACGGCTGGATGGTCGAAATTTGAAAGTCTGAAAGATGCGTTTCTGACTCGGCAGCTTCCGGTGTTTTGCTTGATGTTTTTGGTATATAGTTTTTTATTATTGTGTTTCAGTTGTTGCAATCAGGTGGACTTATGCACTTCATGCTGCCGAATGGGAGGGCTTGTTTGTGGCTGCCACACGAGCACGCAACGCTGGGATTCCAGATTCTCGGTAAGTGCTGTGACTTTCTGTGCTGCTGAAAAGGCTGCAATCAAGTTCTCGCGAGTTGCAATATGTTCCCTGCAGACGGATGATTGACTTTGCTGCTTGAACGACAGGTTCGTGATCAGGTCCTGCTTCGGTGGGGCTAGGGTTTTGATTAGTGGCGATTTGCTGATTTCAAATCATGGGCCGTGCTGACTGGTGGTTGCTACAAGACGTGGCAGTGCAACCCACGACATGGCGATCCCTTGTCCTGGTGGGGTTTCCTTTGGCGATGCCCCTCGTTTTGATAACTGTGCAATCTAGGATGTTTAGACTTTATTCGTCTTTGTATGATGAACTGAGGCTTCACCTGTGCGATTATATCGCTCAGAATGCGGAGGGCCCCAACGCAGTCAGGGCCTGGAACCTAGATCCGCAACCTAAGCATCCATATATGTTGCCTCAACACATGCATGCATCGTGCACAGGATTTGTATTGCCTGGACCTTTTCGCTGGGACACGAGCCATCGAATTAGGGTTCAGCCTTACTCCCAGCTTCTTTGTCGCACATGTAGATGTAGTTTATTTTTGTAGCTTTGAGGTTCTCGTGGGCTCAAGTCGTGTGGGGCTTACAGTTCGTGCACTTCCCGGGCATGTGTGCATGTGGAGCAGTGGAGCATTTGTTATCATGTCGCCCTAGCCAGGGACTACTTCGATATTGAACAACGGCCCGAGGACGACCTCTTGACAGTGTGTTGTGCTTAGCACGTGTTATATGGGTTTGAGGTGTGCCTACGTGTGCATGCTGTGGGCTTTGATGCTCTTGAGGTCCGGCTTTATGCGGGCCACAATGAAAGTCCTCAGATTGAAGAAGGACGGGCTGCTGGCAGCCGGGTTGCCGTGTGGTTCATGGACGTTCATGAACCGTGCTACGAGCGGACGCTGCAAGAGTAATATTTGGGGAACAGAGCGCTACAAGTACATCAAAGAAGCCAATACGCTGCTCGACTCAATGTTTTTGGTTTCGCTTGTGATCTGCCACCCGTCAACATTGACCCGTGAGCTTCACTGTGTCATTGATTATAAGGTTGGCTTGTCGCACTGTGTTACTATGCATCCTGGCCATGATGCGGGGTGTCCATTGGTTTCTGGAACAACCCGGAAGCTCCGTGGTTTTCGACCTGCCGCAGATGAAATTTGTTCACGATATTCTGGGGCAGTTTGTCTCGGTGCAAAGTGCTCGCTTGTGGGGGCCTAAGGTTTCTGCTGAAATCCGACACACCGGTTCATGTTGTCCTTTCCTCATATTTGAAAGCGAAAGCTGGCCCTGCCCAGCTGGATGGGTGCTTATGGCCACTTCTCCCCGAAGCTGACCCACGTTTGGGGCACCCCGCTTGAACCTCAATTCCTCTGCTGCACACTATGTTGGCTGTGTGAAAACACTGTCGCTAGCAGTCGAAATGCTTGAAGGAGGTGGGTGAACTTTCTCCACCGCAAATTGACGAAGAAGACACGAAAACAAAAGGGCCTCAGCTCCAAAGGCGTGGTTACTTACAAGAAGTGCAAGAAGACTGGGAAGAAGCTTGTGTGTTGTGCTGAGTATCGATCGAGTTTGTTCGTGTAAAGACTGGACATGTATGTGCATTGTGGCATTGTAAGGACTGGTGGACCACGTCTCAAACAAACACAGTGCTACCCGGTGGAGTTTGGAAAAGCGGTGTCCTCATATCACATCCACGAAATGGCCTCCTGACTGCAAGCATGGGTAGCTGATGTATTCCAGACTTCGTGTGGGTGGTGCTGCATTTTCGTTTGTGCTGGACACTGATGAGGCCTCGAAAATTGGTGGGATCCTCGAGGACGTTCAGAGGTTCAGTATGGCCGGGCCCCAAGCCTGGAACCCCTGGCTTCAAGAGCCGTGCCCTTTTCGATTTCGTTTTGTGATGCTCAGGTGAAACCAAAGCTGATCAAAGATACTCCTGACTGGGCCCGGGCATGTCTGAGGGATATTGAAATCTTCCTGGAGCAGGAGGCCAAAGCTGGCAAATATGATCCGAAACTTAATTTCGGATCTTTTGTTCCTAGGCCCCGATAGGTTGCCGCCCCTTGCAAAGCTGTGTGTAAGTGCTAGCATCAGCAGAAACCTGAGCCTAGGTTTGGGGAGCTAGTGCTGGTCTTGTGCTTGAAATATCGATTCTGTGGGTGGCAAAGGCAACAAGTGTCACGCAATTTGTAGCCTGGTCTAGACGTAATCACGCGAGCGCAAAAAACACTAGCGTGAGACTAGCGTGAAAAGACCGTGAGAAACCCGTGAAAAGCACCCGGAACACCGTGAAAAGCACCCGGAACACTGTGAAACTTTGGCCCCCGATTTTCTCACAAAAAACACCTTGCATCTTGATCCGGCGAACTCAGGTCTGTGAGTATCACGACATGATTGTATGGGCCTCTGCTGTTCTTGCTCGAGGATCTATTTTACTGCTGCTGGCTTGTTGGGGAGACGCTAGCAGCTATGGTGGACGTTTCATCGGTCCTAGCAAAAGCCAAAGCAAGAAGAGAAAGGGCTGGGCTGCAGCCGAAGTTCAATTCTCAACATGTGTGCATGCTCGCGATGATTCAGTATGTGGCCGTCCATGTGTATATATGCAATCGCTAGTTCGACATGAATTATTAGTGGTGCCATGTACTTCTAAGGCGGTACGACAGCACCGAAGATGCCCAAAATCCTTTTGGGTCGGAAGGAACCCCAAGCCCGAAGAGGCCAGCCAGTCCCGACTCTACGGGGAAGCAAGCCTGGCAAGCTTCGAAGAAGGCAAAGACCAAGCCCCCGACCTTGTCTTCCACCGAATCTTTTCCCGACACACAGGTCCAGACCCCCCCGCATCGCATCAACAGAAAGATGACAGATGATATGAGTGGGGAGAAGCCAGCTGTTTCTTTCCTGAGAAGGGCACAGACAGTAGATATCCCAAGCAGTGCAGACCGAACAAAGCTTGCAAAGGAGCAACAAGAACAGTTGCAACAGAAGCAAGACAAGATGAAAGCCCCGCCCGCAGAAGCACCGGAGCCGGAACACGAGACAGAAGATGCTGTAAGCAAAACCAAGCAGAAGTCCTTGCCAGCAGGCAAGGCCAAGGCCAAAGCAAAAGCAAAACCAGAAGCAAAAACAAAAGCAAAAGCCAAAGCAGCCCCGACCAAGATGCACCCGACAACAGCCCCGAAAGCGAAGGCGAAAGCGAAAGCCAGGTTGCCGAAGGCTACCCCTCCGAGCTCCGACAAGAGTGTTCGGGATCCCCTTGCCTGTGCTTCCACCGATCCTGCCCCAACCAAGCCGGGAAGAGCCAAGCGCAGCAAACCGGAGCAGCATGATGAAGGCGACAAGCCGAAGCCTGTGGATGCAAGCAACGAAGCAAAAGCGGCCACAGCCAAGCCCAGAACAAAGAAACTGAAGCGAAAGAATGGATTCAAGAAGGGAGGCAAAGGAGCCCAGGCCAAGAACCTCGCATCCGTTCGAAAGCGCAAAGCCCGCAAGCTCTACATGAGATTTTGGCGATCGGTGAAGAGTTCATCCCTCAGTCTGATTTTCTCTGTTTTCTGTGGTCTTTCTGCTCTCAAAATCTCTCCTGATTCACCTAATCAAACCAAAACCTAGGCAAGCACACGCCGAATGAGATCAAAAAGACCTTCGAGAGGTTCAAGTATTGCCATGGGCTCAGGTGCTTCATGTTTGCTAGATTAATCTTTGAAGACCCAATTCTAGACCCAAGGCAAGACGAAGATGAGCACGTTGTACGAAGACTTTGTCAGCACCGGAGGCAAATGGAAGAATGGTATCATCTACAAGACGGTGACATCGAAAAGGAAGAATTCTTCGTTGGGCTGCCGAAAGTGGCTCACCCGTTCCCAGCTACTTCAGCATTTCGACAACGATAAAGATATCGTGGATGCTGTGATTCTACGAAAAGAGACTGACCCCGAGCTCCGTCAGAAGGAGATCCGTGAGCACCCGGAATGCCCCAGTAACTCAGCCATATTATCCAATCCCACCTAGACAGTCATATTTCAAAATCGAATTCGATGGCGACCGAGGCTTGACACAATATCTCGTGCTGGTCGACGATGCCGAGTATGATGAGTCGGCTGTGGAGATTTCAGATCTTTTCCAAGCAGAGGATTATATGAGCGAGAGTGATGACTCGTCATCCTCATCGAGTTCCTCGGAGGCAGGACATAGTATGTTCTGATAATACACATTGCGAGCTTAGCTGTTTAGATTCTCATGCATTCCAAAGATGCCAGGATTCGGGAGCCAAGACCCGCAAGAAGAAGAAGAAGACTGCAAAGAAAGACAAGAAGGACAAAAAGTCCAAGAAAAACAAAAAGGATAAGAAGGCCAGCAAGAAGCGAAAAAGCAAGAACAAGAAGGGAGAGGACACAGAGGAAAAGCAGCAGGCCAAGGCACTGACAATGGAAGCGAACAAGGCCCGAAGGTAGTGGCACACGTCATTGAAATGTGTCGTGTCAAAGAATGCATGCATATTCTGTTGGTATGGCAGGTTCTGGCTGCTGCGAGCAGGAAGATTAAAGCCTTGAACCTGAAGAAAAGCACTGACGATATCTCCGCTTTGTCTGGCTCTCAAACCTTGCAAATCTTGCATACAACATGCAGTACCGATAACGAGTATTAAGGAGCCCCGAGCTGCGAAAAGCGCTGGTGAAAGACATGGACGCGACGATTGGAAAGCTGTCGACAGCCAGAGCCCAGTTGCAGCAAGCCGTCGACTCTGCCAAGGAACAGAGTTGAAATCTTCGGGTCGATATTGGGTTCTTTAGTAAACACAAAAATATTAACACGCATTCTGGATTTTTCATATATCCCGCCGCAGGACAGCGACATCAGAGAGAAAATCGATGCCGCCCAGAAATGCAACGACGAGGCTGAGACTGCTTTGAGCTTGAAGAGACCGAAAGCAGGGACAGCCAAGGCTGGAAAGAAGTAGTGGGGATGGTCATGAACCCGATGATACACGCACCCGCTCAAAACCGCATATTAGGTAACATCCTGGTGCTACTAGGTCACCCTCGCCGTGTGCATTAAAGGGTTACATGGCCTGACGGGGTTTTCGTCGACATGGAACTGTCGATATGAAAGTGAATGCTTCCTGGCATCGCCGGTGAAACCTGCCGATTGGCCGAAGATGTGTTTCGCACGAGGAACAGGGGTTGCTGACTTGTGCACTAGCGACGCATGAAAGGAGTCGGTGGGCAATCGCGGCAATGGTGCGAAAAGAAGCTGCATCTTCAGATTCCGACAAGTGAGAAGTTGCATTCATGTAGATGATACTTTTATTGTACTTGGATGATTCGCAGGTGTCTCTCCCGGTGATGATAGTTCAAATATGATCGGTGAGATACTCGACTCAGTGGCTGGAGCTGTCTTTTGGCTGCACAAGTCCCGGCATGTATCTTTGCCAAACGGATATTCGAATACTTTATCTGAATATGTACTGCTGCAGGCGAGCACTGTGGGCAAGGAGATGCGATCTGCAAAAGCAGCCATCGAAGAAACTGACCGTGAGATTACGCAAGTAGTGGTTCGCGAATTCTTTGTCCGGGGTCCAATCGTGATCGGTTGTGCCGTGCATCTAAGGATGGGATCACTGATCTACCGCCGCTACTCAAAACATTGGGATCCTACAGCGGCCACAACAACTCAAGAGATTTTGCACGAGCACTGCGACTTCCTGTTGTGTCCTGGCCTAGATGTAGCTTAGCAGCTTCGTTTCTATGTATTTTCGTGCTAGGGTGGCCGTTGTCTTGTTTGTTGCTTTTTTCATTTCCCCGATTCAAGCTGTAATTGGGAGGCACCGGTGTTCATCGAGACTGTTGTTCGAAAGAAAGAGGATAGCAACGAGGAGCGGATGGTAAAGATCCCGGTCCTCCTACCGCATTTGGTTTTGAACTACTTATTTCAGGAGGTTGGTCTTCAAATCGACGATGAACTTTTACAGAAATACTGGGTGCATGCCAAAAAAGTCTTTCCGTGGGCCGCTGCTGATGATTTCGACGGAAGTCATGTGCCATTGGCTGTGTATGGTGATTCGGCTCGATACGGGCAAGGTTATGACCAATCCAAAATCACTGGATTTTGGATGAGTCTGGTTTTGTGGCGGCCAAAAAGCACTCGGATGAGCCAATGGTTGCTGTGGAGCCTTGATGCCGATCTCAGTTTGGGCCGACGAAGCGAAAACCCACTAATCAAGGCAGTTGTCGAATCCTTGAACCTATGTTTCGATGGCCTCACGCCAACAAGCAAAAAGCTTCCTCATCGGTTTGCCACGACAGAAATCAAAGGAGACTGGGAATTCTTCTGGAGAGTGCTTGGGCTCACAAGGTATTGGAAGAAAAGGTTCTTATGCTGGAGATGTGATGCTGAGAACCATGAACACGCAACCCATTCCTATTTGGATGTTTCCGACAACCCGACTTGGGCCACCACTGAGATATCACACAACGATTTCATACTGTCCGGGATTGAGGATGAAGACGTATGCGCCGTCGCTGATAGTTGTTTTGTATTATGGTCCAATGTTTAGGGCTTCGCTACTACTTAACAGCTTGAACTTTGAGAATTTCGTGCATGTGTGATACAACAATATCATCGACCGAGGTCCACTCATAGGCCTACACCATTTTCATATGACGATGCTGTGCCATTGCAGTCTGCACAATGTCAACTTGGGGATCTGTCAAGATGCGACTGGTTCTACTTTGCCCCTCTGATTTATTATCAGTCGTGTTCATGTGGAGTATGTAAGCTTGGCGCTTTTTTGCTATTCAGGATGTACCTCCTAGACCGCGGATACTTTGGCTGTCCGCAGACGCTCTCGCTGCATAAACGTTTGGTAACTGCTTTTCGCGATTTCAAGACTTTCCAGAAGGAAACAGGCATCCGATGCTCCCAGACCAAGTTTGTTCCGAATCTTGTCCCCAGTCCGATCTAGCATGTTTGAACTGTTTCGGTTGTAAGCTTAAAATATGCATTAGATTTATCGGTGTCAAGCAAATGTTTGGGAAGCTTTGTTCTCATCAGGTTTGGAAAGAGCACAAAGGAGCTCATATGGGGCACAAGGGCTACAATGGGAGGGTTATTGCTCTTTGGCTTGGGGATTGTATGCAACGAGCCGTGCGATACAACACCACTCCCACCCGCGACTTTGGACAATGGTTTGTGCAACACCGTGCATGGCCAGCTGATGACAGCTTGTTGGCACCGACCGCGGCTGCTATGTCCCTCGTAATAATGTTGAATTTTGGTTCGTTTCAAAATGCCCGGAAACCCATTCAAGTATTTAAACAATATTAAGACACTGCTCTTTCAGGCAATCCCTTTGCGAATGGTTTCATCGAGTCGAAAGCAATGGCCGATTCCTGCTCCTAGGCTGCAAGGATTATGTTTCGAGCGTTGCACACAATCACCAGGCTGTTGCTTAGTAAGGTCTGCTAATGCAGCTGACAAAATTTACCGCTGTGGTATGCGATACCTACGATTCCACATCCTCCTGTGCAAAATGAATATGAGGCAGGGTGTATCCATGTAATCGTTCGCATCGCATTGTGAAATCTTTTTTTCCACTTTCGCAGGATGGGGCGATTGGCTTGGCAAGTACGGCCGAAAATCCACGAAGCTAGGTCGCAAGCTGACTCAAATAAGATGGCGTGCACCGACACGCTAATTGCAACCTAGATGTTTCATCATCAAATGCGCGATCTCCAGCGCCGAAGCAACTGGGAATGTTTCATGAGTGACTTTTGTTCGTGGTTGAGTCGGGGCTGAGTTACCGCAACACCAGATTTCTGTACCGAGGACTTAACACTCGATTCTTTCACACCTTCAGGGAGGAGGACGCAATGAAGTGGCTGAAGAGCCTCTCGTTTTGCAAAAGGGCTGATGCGAGTGTCCTTGTGTGCTCTCGAGATCGAACTTGACTTGTGCTACTCGAGGTGTTGCTCGAAATTCAGACCGCAAAAAGCTGGAACGCAGTGTGATGCAATTTGCGAGATACCGTCTTCGCTCGATGGGCAGAAAGCTGCGAGTTAGAAGTTTGAACAAGAGCGCGAAGCGACGGTCCGGGTAAAACAAAGAGTCGCATCAAGAGCATGTGCATTTGCAAGGGGCGCATCATGATCAACAGTGGCTTCTCTTGAATCCAGTGAACCAGGGTCTTTCAGTAAAGTAGAGCCTTTACACTAACGCACGCGTTAAACCCCTGCTTTGGACTAGTAGGGTATATACAGATGCATATATATATATATATATATATATAGATACATACAGGGTCTCGGATCGAGTCTGGTCAAGGAACCGGACATTGCTGAGGACCCCAGTACCTAGCACATTAGGTACGCCCCTGACGAAAGACATAGCTGGAACGCCCAAATCGCCAGCGTGGCATCGACGCCGCCGGCAACAAAGATCTGTGGTACGGGCACGGATCTGGACAGCCCGCAAACAGGGACGACGGCCGCCCGACCGGGCGATCCGCACTCTGCAAAAGCACCACTCCAAGCCCCGGTACCGCGAAGACTACATGGGCCGAGGAAAGGAGACATTGGCAGATTGGCAGTCAATGCCCTCAGGATCTACGGGCTGGTACTCCTCCCCAGAGGACCGCCGATTGAAAAAAATCAAGCGGGATTGAAAATTCTCAGCGTTTTGATTGTGTCGATCAAATTCAATAGAAAACGATCTTTTTCAATAGAAATTTAAATCCTCAAAATCAATAGAACTGCGACATAAAAATCAATAGAAACCTCCACATCAAAATCAATAGAAAATCTCCATAAAATCAATAGAAATTTTCCATAAAATCAATAGAAATTTTCCATAAAATCAATAGAAATTTTCCATAAAATCAATAGAAATGTTATCTCAAATCAAACGAGAAACACTTCTGACATCAATAGATTTCAGCGCTATCTCTGCCTCCACCACTATATATAATACCTCTACCTCGACCTCAACCTGTACCTTTATCCGTATCTCTGCCTGTATATCTCTACCTTTACATCTTTACTTCTTTATCTCTCTATCGCTGTATATCTCTCTATCGCTCTACCGCTCTATCGCTCGATCTACCGCTCTACCGCTCGGTCGCTCTATCTCTCTATCTCTTATATCTCCCTGTCTCTCTATCTCTCCATCTCTACCTGTATTTTTATTTCTATATATCTATCTCTTTCTTTTTTCTCTTTCTCTATCTCTCACTTTCTCTTCCCCACCCTTTCCCAGAAGGCTTCCAGCCTAACACTTCTTTTTCACAGCAGCGGCAGGGAATCTTGGGTGAAGCTTCTTTTGAGCTCTCCTTCGAAACTTGGCCTTGTAAAGGCCTCGGAGCCTAACTTTCAAAAACGGTTCCTGGCTACTTGGACTTGGACGTGGAATTGGACTCAGGCATTCCAGCCTAACACTTCTTTTCCACAGCTGCGGCAGG